ATCGGAGTAGTTTCATGTGTACGACAAAATAAGGCGACAACGATACGCATTATTCTACTGTTCGATGCATTAGTACTTGTACAATTGCAGAATGATTTTCAATTGAGGATCGATCGGTCGAATCCTGTCTGTGTGCCTTGTCCAAAAAAATACCAATGAAATGTGAGTGAAATTGTGCGATATTGTGGAGTTAGCAATGCCGAAAAATTGGTAAGCACATTTAGAAGGAAGGCACGCAGGTGCGCTGGGCACGTTCGATCTGTGTAATGATGTTTGCCAATCGCCTACGTATCTTCTTTTGATCGTCAGCCGTACATTCAATAACCTGGAAATCGAAAAAAATTACATCCAATCTACATATATATAGATATATGCCTCAAATACCACTGATTCATCAGGCTTAAGTTCGAAACACTGATTTCAACTTCTATTGTAAGCAGAAAAAAGCGTTGACTGATAGACATGAGGGATTATTCGATAAAAATTGCTTTTAATGATTGTTCGCAGATGCGTTGTTACGATCTTGAGTTTTTCCGTAATAATGTTGTAACTATAATTGCATAGGGCATCGTCCATCTGCAGCCAATAGATTTTTCGTTTAGATGTTCATTATTTGTGTACAATGACATTGACATTGATCTTATCGGATTTCTCGATCAATCAATAAGTGATCAAGTTAACTACCGTTTGTTACGATTTCATCCTCGTCGTACTCGCTTTTACTACCACCAATAGCTCATTAATGATGCATTTAATGTCATTTCAGAGCAAAATCAACAAAAAACAATTAATTGTTTTTTCGAGCAATCTCAACCAGAATTGCACTCGTAAAATTTGAGCAAATTGATTGGACAAAAACGATTTCTTCAAACCGTTTTCTATAAAATCAAAATGAATGTAAAGCAAAAAGACTGCAGTGAAATGTCTGGCAAATTCTAACAGTAGAGGAAGATTTATTTTGATAGAGTAATTTGTGATGAATTCGAAGAAATATTAAAGTTGCTCAGTGGAAGTTTTGATGATTGTTTTCTTTTCAAAATTTTCTTGACTACCTGTGATTGAAAACGCTGATCGATTGGACCGTCTGGTTGATCTGGCGAACACGCGTTGAGCATACGTTTCACCATCTGTAAGCACTAAACATTCCAGATGATATAACCATCGCAAAAGATGCGAGCAAATGGGCACTATTACGATAAGACTGACGAAGGCTTCATAAGACAGTTTTTCAAACGGTCAAACGAATACTCCAGTAAAAACTTACATCTTTTGAATTTCTCAGATCTTCTTGGATCTTGTTGACAGCACCATCAATTAGAGAATTCACATTGGTGAGCGCTTTGGTTTGCTCCGAATTGCGTGGAGTGTTGACGACCACCTCAACTGCTTTACATCGGTTCAGCAAACGATTCGTTGTCGCATTGATATCCTCTCGGTCACCTCAAATCCACATCTTACTAAACACTCTCGCAAAAAAAATGCTCTTCTCTCAACATTTCATTGGAAAAGTCTCATTTTGCATTGAATTTCAGAAATGCGTTTACAATAAGATTCAATAAAAAACATCTAAAAATTTGGATTTCTCGGTATCAGAGCGATTTTCGGTGAGATGGAATCTGTTTTCGAGGAGAAACCAGTGGTAAACAACCTCTTATCATGTGCTCACCTTGGCCGAGTCGTAAAAGTTCCGCGTTAAGGTTAACATTGCTCAGCATATCCAACAATGATTCTTTTTCCTGCTCCAGATGTCCAGCCGACTCTCTAAAATCACCTTCTCTATTGTGTTGTGTTAAAATTCAACTAGACTTTAATGAAAAATTCAGGAATATGAACTGCTCATCAGCCTTTTTGCCGTTTTTCGTTGGCATAATTTCATTGCGTTCGAACAACTGAACTGGAATCCATCCGTGTCGGCTATTCTCCTTTAAATGTTCATTTCGAAACGTTTCACATCAAAGAGAAACGAAAGCGATTGCGTCATCATAAAATTTATGTATACAAATAAATAAACAATGCATAATATTTTCACATTTTCACATGCGTACAAACGTTTCACAACGGAACTAAAAACATTTTTTGTTTCGCCAAACACCCACCCACGTTCGCCTTGCAGCACTTTCAGTTTCGATCATTTCACTCACTCACTCTGAATCGAATTACGCTTTGTTTCAGTCAAACTCAACACACCCGCTTAAACCTGAACGCTATTTAAGAACAGCTGTTGCTGTTGTTGTTGTTGTATTAGTTTCACTGCGTTCGTTTCAACGTGCGAAAACATTCTTCCGCGAATTTCGCATAAAATTTCAAATGAACACACTATGAAATGTTATCGGGCAAAACCATACCTGATCGTCAAATGCCTCATACAACAAAGCAAATTACAAGGAAATGTTCTTCACATTTATCTAATAGTGAGGTTGGAGTGGATTCGGCGAAAGTTTCCAGGCAACAAAGATTATGTACA